CCAGAAGTACCTCTCCTGAGGCTGCAGTACTCTAAGTACCACTCACGCAGCTGCTCTGAGGAGAGAGCTCCTCCAGGTGTAGCACTCCCAGGCTCAGCACCCCCAGACTCAGCACCCCCAGGCTCAGCACCCCCAGACTCAGCACCCCCAGGCTCAGCACCCCCAGACTCCGCAACCCCAGGCTCCGCAACCCCAGGCTCCGCACTTTCAGGCTCCGCACCCCCAGGCTCCGCACGCTCAGGCTCAGTACCCCTAGTAGGACGAGAGTCGACAGCTACCTCGACAGGCTCAACCGGGTCTACCTGGGACACACCTGAGGGAGCGGCACCCTGAGGGGGGAGGGGGTCTACCACAGCAGCACCTGGCGCGAGGAAGAGAGGCGGGGGGGGGAGCGGGGCAGTGCGGTAGGGGAAGAGGCGGTAGTAGGGCACGGACTCGTCAAAAGTGACGTCCTGAGAGGGCAGGACCCGGCGCGAGGTGGCGTGGTAAAACTGCCAACCAGACGCGTCCGGGACAAAGCCAAGGAAGACACAAGGAACAACGCGGGAGGAGAGCTTGTCCGCGGACGTATCGCAAACAAAAGCTCGGGATCCCCAGACCCGAAAACGAGACGCATCGCCAACCTCTCCCGTCCAACGCAGTGTCGGGGAAGTCTCCGGCAAGGAGACACGGGGCCAGAGGTTGAGCTGATGCGCAGCGTATCGGACCGCAAACGGCCACAAAAAGTGGGGGGCAGCCGCATGGATCAAGGAGGTACGAGCGACCTCCATGACCAAGCCAATGCGGCGCTCAGCAACCCCATTCTGTTGTGGAGAGGCCGGAAGCGTGAACGACTGCAAAATGCCGTGCTCCGCACAGTAGGCTGCCAAGAGGTCGGAGGAGAACTCACCACCTCTGTCAGAGTGCAGACGCAGGACAGGAAAGTCCGAGTGGAACCTCTCGCTGAGCTGAAGACGGGCTCTGCGGATCCAAGGGATCAAAACATCAGGGACCTCACCCTTGGTGCGCAAGGGGAAGACCGTGGTGTAGCGCGAGTAGTCGTCAACAACAATCAGGAAGTACCTCTCCTGACCCTGACCACGGACGCGGGCTGGGCCCCACACGTCCATGTGGAGCGTCTGCAAGGGAGCAGACGTCGGGGGAAACGAGGAGGAGTGAGAAGCGGCGCGCTGCCGCCCCTCGACACAAGGAAGACAGGGAGGAGCAGGCGAGGGTGGGAGGGGAGGGAGTACACGGGGAAGACCAGAGACAAGGTACCGTTTGTGCATGGCACGAAGGCGCTGCACTGACGGGTGACCAAGGCGGTGGTGCCAGAGGACAGTCTCGTGCGCCAGAGAGCGACACGAGCAGGGGGCAGACAGCTGACCTGACGCAGACGCAGACGCAGCTACCTGAGGGGACTCAGTGGTCAGTGTGTACAAGTCCGACCCCGGCTGCCTAGTGAAGGTAGCCAGGTGACGGCCCGTCCGAGCACACGTGCAGTGTGTCACGCGCTCGTAGGCAGGGGTGAACTGGTGGACACCCCCGTCCTGGAGCGCACAGCCTGCCACCAAGTTCGTAGAGAACGAGGGGAGGTGGAGACCTGACAGTGTGCCCGACGGAACCGCAGGACAAGGAAGGACAGTGGAGGAGGTCGCAATGACCGGACCCCCAGAGGGGTCAGCAAGGGAGACAGCAACTGGCCGAGCAAGCTGCTCAAGGGCAGTGCGGTCACGAAAGAAACAGCGAGAAGCTCCTGAGTCTAGAGTGAAGGTGTGCAGTGCCTCAGTGGACTCAGTACCAGGGGGCGCAGACGCACTAGCACCTAGAGCAGCAGCCTCACCAGCACCTGGGGCAGCAGACACGCGAGCACCTAGAGCGGCAGCCTCACCAGTACCTAGGGCAGCAGACACGCAAGCACCTAGAGCTGCAGCCTCACTGGTGCGGATGCCCGGGTCGGGCGGAACACGCAGGTACTGGGCACTCTCTCCACTAGTAGACAACACATACATTGCAGTGAGAATAGCATCAAAGTCAAGAGCATAGATATCAATGTTCTTCTTCATCAGATCAGCCCAGCGGGGCATCTCAGTGGCAGCAGGGAACTGAGTGCGCCAAGCGTCGTCCAGGCGGGAAAAGCAGCGCTGCGTGGTGTGCGCCCTCCCACACGTCTGGCCAGTGCGGTCACCAGTGCGGATGACGTACGTGCAGCTAAGGCCACCCCCCCCCCCCCCCGTGCTGAGAGTACCACTCACGAACCTCCTGGGACGACGGAGTGTGCTGCTGGCTCTGGCCACCGCCAGTGCCTCCACGACCACCACCGCCGCCGCCACCACCTCGACCACCACCGCCCCTGCCGCCTCCGCGTCCACCGCCTCCCCACCCACCGCCCCCACCCCGGCCACCTCCTCCGCTGCTGCCGCCTCCACCCCCACCGCTGCCACTAGCCCCTCCAGCCCCGCCACCACCCCCACCGCCGCCACCGCCCCCACTCCCACCTCCCCCGCCGTCACCTCCACCTCCCTTGCCCCCTTTGCCCTTGCCGCTGCGGCGCCAGCTCGGAGCGGACGCAGTCCCGACCTGCTCAGTACCAACGAGGTCGACAGCAGCAGCAGAGGCGACAGAGGGGAGAAGGGGGGAAGGGGAACACCCCTCGAAGAACGGGGTGCGGGGGTCGCCACGAGAGGCACCTACAGCTACAATACTCTTCTCAGCTGCAAGCAAGTTCCTTCTCGAGCAGATCAACGGTGAGCTCAGTGGGGCAGCGAGCGAGGAAGTGGTCCTTGACCGCACGAAGGGAGTCAGGGAGACGGGTGACTAGGTGGTAGAGAGTGAGCCAGAGCGGGGGGGGGTGGGTGGCAAGAAACTCAGCGGGCATAGCAGCAAGGAAGCGGGCCTCACTAGTGCGGAGGTGCGTGATGAGGTCAGCGACTGTGTGGAAAGAGGACAGGTCGGGGAACAGGTAGGGGAGTGAGAGACGGCCTAGCGCGGCAGAGGCAGGTGAGGAGTAGCAGGCAACGAGAGCAGTGTACAGTGCCTGTGCAGTCTTGTGCGCGCCAAAGTGCTCGCGCTCATCTATCGGCAGAGAGTTGCAAATAGCAAAGCGAGCGTGGGCGTCACGAGTCTGCCACTGTGAGCGGGTAGTGCTGTCAGCAGTAGCAGCAGGGGTAGTGGCATGGCCTAAGGCGTGATCGTACAGTGAGATGTCCTCCTTGGCAGTGAGCTGTAGGAAGAGGTGCAGGTCATCTAGCCAGGTGTCAAACTTCACTGGGCGGCCCTCAGCATCGAAAGCTAGTACAGGAGGGCTAGCCATAGTAGCAGTAGGAGCAGTAGTATAGTCAGCAGAAACAGTAGCAGTAGTAGCAGCAGGTGAAACCCTAAAAGCAGCAGGCAGCTCGACTCAGGTAGGGCGGCTCGGTACGGGGAGGGCGGCGCGGCTCGGTTCGGGCGGCGCGGCTCGGCTCGGACTGGGCGGCGCGGTTCAGGCTGCTCGGTTCGGGCGGCTCGGTTCGGGCGGCTCGGTTTTGGCGGGGCCGTGGCTGTCGCGTGCGGGGTCGCCGGGGCTGCTAGGTGGGGCGCGCGCGGGGTCGACGGGGCCGACGCGGCCTCTAGATGGGGCGCGTGCGGGGTCGACGGGGCCGAGAGGGGCCGCTAAGGGGCGGCGCGCGGGGTCGACGGGGCCGTAAGGGGCCGCTAAGGGGCTGCGCGTAGGGTCGACGGGGCCGTGAGGGGCCACTAAGGGGCGGCGCGCGGGGTCGACGGGGCCGTAAGGGGCCGCTAAGGGGCTGCGCGCGGGGTCGACGGGGCCGTGAGGGGCTGCTAAGGGGCGGCGCGCGGGGTCGACGGGGCCGTAAGGGGCCACTAAGGGGCGGCGCGCTAGGTCGACGGGGCCGTGAGGGGCCACTAAGGGGCGGCGCGCGGGGTCGACAGGGCCGTAAGGGGCCGCTAAGGGGCAGCTCGCGGGGCCGACGGGGCCTTACAAGGCCGCTAAGGAGGGGCGCACGAGGGCGCTGGGGGGAGGAGCTCGAGGGCGCTCCGACAGTAGGGCGCACGAGGGCGCTAGTAGTCAGTCAGTAGTGGTGGGCCCTAAAAAAAAATTTCGGTCCTAGCGGAGGACCTGCTCTGAAACCATGTCAGAATGAAAGAAACAGGAATGAATGAACTAGCACAAAGTGGGGTACAAGTAGGAAACCCTAAGTTTGTGTACCCCCTAAGGCTAAACCCACTATAGCCTACACAATGCAAACATACAATGTTTGACAGCGAGTACCACTCCCGCAGCTGCTGTGAAGAGGGAGCGCCTCCAGGCGCAGCACGGTCAGTCGCAGCACCCCCAGGCTCAGTACCCTCAGTCGTAGCACTCTCAGGCTCAGCACCCCCAGACTCAGCACCCTCAGGCTCAGCACCCCCAGGCTCCTCACGCTCAGGCTAAGCACCCGCAGGCTCAGCACCCCCAGGCTCCGCACGCTCAGGTTCAGCACCCCCAGGCTCCGCACCCCCAGGCTCCGCACGCTCAGGCTCAGCACCCCTAGCAGGATGAGAGTCGACAGCTACCTCGACAGGCTCAACCGGGTCTACCTGGGACACACCTGAGGGAGCGGCACCCTGAGGGGGGAGGGGGTCTACCACAGCAGCACCTGGTGCGAGGAAGAGAGGCGGGGGGGGGAGCGGGGCAGTGCGGTAGGGGAAGAGGCGGTAGTAGGGGACCGACTCGTCGAAAGTGACGTCCTGAGAGGGCAGGACACGGCGCGAGGTGGCGTGGTAAAACTGCCAACCAGACGCGTCCGGGACAAAGCCAAGAAAGACACAAGGAACAGCGCGGGAGGAGAGCTTGTCCGCGGACGTATCGCGGACAAAAGCACGAGATCCCAAGACCCGGAACACCGACGCATCGCCAACCTCTCCCGTCCAACGCAGTATCGGCGAAGTCTCCGGAACGGAGACATGGGGCCAGAGGTTGAGCTGATGCGCAGCGTATCGGACCGCAAACGGCCACAGAAAGTGGGGGGCAGCCGCATGGATCAAGGAGGTACGAGCGACCTCCATGACCAAGCCAATGCGGCGCTCAGCAACCCCATTCTGCTGTGGAGAGGCCGGAAGCGTGAACGACTGCTCAATGCCCTCCCCTGACAGAAGACCCTCAAGAGGTCGGAGGAAAACTCCCCACCTCTGTCAGAGTGCAGACGCAGGACAGGAAAGTCGGAGTGGAACCTCTCGCTGAGCTGGAGACGGGCAGCGCGGATCCAAGGGATCAAAACATCAGGGACTTCACCCTTGGTGCGCAAGGGGAAGACCGTGCTGTAGCGCGAGTAGTCGTCAACAACTATCAAGAAGTACCTCTCGTGACCCTGTCCACGGACGCGGGCTGGGCCCCACACGTCCATGTGGAGCGTCTGCAGGGGAGCAGTCGTCGGGGGAAACGAGGAGGAGTGAGGAGCGGCGCGCTGCCGCCCCTCGACACAGGGAAGACAGGGAGGAGCAGGCGAGGGTGGGAGGGGAGGGAGAACCCTGGGAAGACCAGAGACAAGGTACCGGGAGTGCATGCCACGAAGGCGCTGCACTGACGGGTGACCAAGGCGGTGGTGCCAGAGGACGGTCTCGTGCGCCAGGGAGCGACACGAGCAGGGGGCCGACAGCTGACCTGACGCAGACGCAGACGCAGCTACCTGAGGGGACTCAGTGGTCAGTGTGTACAGGTCCGACCCCGGCTGCCGAGTGAAGGTAGCCAGGTGGCGACCCGTCCGAGCACACGTGCAGTGTGTCACGCGCTCGTAGGCAGGGGTGAACTGGTGGACACCCCCGTCCTGGAGCGCACGACCCGCCACCAAGTTCGTAGAGAACGAGGGGAGGTAGAGACCTGACAGTGTGCCCGACGGAACCGCAGGACAAGAGAGGACAGTGGAGGAGGTCGCAATGACCGGACCCCCAGAGGGGTCAGCGAGGGAGACTGCAACTGGCCGAGCAAGCTGCTCAAGGGCAGTGCGGTCACGAAAGAAACAGCGGGAAGCACCTGAGTCCAGTGTGAAGGTGTGCAGTGCCTCAGTAGACGCAGTACCAGAGGGCGCAGACTCACGAGTACCTAGAGCAGCAGCCTCACCAGCACCTGGGGCAACAGACACACTAGCACCTAGAGCGGCAGCCTCACCAGCACCTGGGGCAACAGACACACGAGCACCTAGTGCGGCAGCCTCACTGGTCCTAATGCCCGGGTCGGGCGGGACACGCAGGTAACAGTCACCCTCTCCACTAGCAGACAACACATACATGGCACCAAGAATAGCATCAAAGTCAAGAGCATAGACATCAATGTTCTTCTTGATCAGATCAAACCAGCGGCTCAGTAGCAGCAGGAAACTGAGTGCGCCAGGCGTCGTCGAGGCGGGAGAAGCAGCGCTGCTGCGTGTGCGCCCTCCCACACGTCTGACCAGTGCGGTCACCTGTGCGGATGACGTACGGGCAGCTAAGGCCACCCCCCCCACGCTGAGAGTACCACTCACGAAGCTCCTGGGGCGACGGGGTCTGCTGCTGGCGCTGGCCACCGCCAGAGCCTCCGCGACCTCCACCGCCGCCGCCGCCACCTCGACCACCACCGCCACCACCGCCACCGCGTCCACTGCCGCCACTACCACCGCCCCAACCCCGGCCACCTCCTCCACCGCTGCCGCCACCACCCCCGCCGCTGCCGCCACCACCCCCGCCGCTGCCACTGGCCCCTCCAGCCCCACCACCACCCCCACCGCCGCCACCGCCCCCACCACCGCCTCCCCCGTCGTCACCGCCGCCCCCCTTGCCCCCTTTGCCCTTGCCGCTGCGGCGCCCCCCACTCGCAGTGGACGCAGTCCCGACCTTCTCAGCACCAAGAAGGTCGACAGCAGCAGCAGAGGCGACAGAGGGGAGGAGAGGGGAGGGTGAACACCCCTCGAAGAAAGGGGTGCGGGGGTCGCCGCGAGACGCACCGACAGCGACTATGCTAGTCTCGGCTGCCAGCAGGTGCTTCTCAAGCAGGTCAATGGTGAGCTCGGTGGGGCAGAGAGCAAGGAAGTGGTCCCTGACCGCACGAAGGGTGTCAGGGAGACGGGTGACCAGGTGGTAAAGAGTGAGCCACAGCGGGGGGGGGTTCTTGGCAAGAAACTCAGCGGGCATGGCAGCTCGGAAGCGGATCTCACTAGTGCGGAGTTGAGTAATGAGGTCAGCTACTGTGGAGAAAGCGGACAGGTCTGGGAACATATAGGGCAGTGAGAGACGGCCTAGCGCAGCAGAGGCAGGCGAGGAGTAGCGCGCAACTACAGCAGTGTACAGTGCCTGAGCAGTCTTGTGCTGGCCAAAGTGCTCGCGTTCATCTACCGGCAGGGAGTTGCGAATGGCGAAGCGAGAGTGGGCGTCACGAGTCTGCCACTGTGAGCGGGCAGTACTGTCAGCAGTCGCAGCAGGGGCAGGAACGAGTCCTAACGCATGGTCATATAGCGAAATATCCTCCTTAGCAGTGAGCTGGAGGAACAGATGGAGGTCATCGAGCCAGGTGTCAAAACGCAGCGGGCGGCCCTCAGCATCGAAAGCTAGAACTGCAGGACTAGCCATAGTTTCAGTAGGAGCAGTAGGAACAGCAGTAGCAGTATCAGCAGTAACAGCTGCAGCAGTAGCAGCAGTGAAACAACACAGCACGACTCGGGCAGGGCGGCGCGGCGCGGCTCGGGCAGGGCGGCGCGGCGGCTTGCGCGTGCGGCTGCGCGTGCGGTCGTGCGTGCAGCCTAGCGTGCGGCTGCGCGGGCGGCTGCGCGTGTGGTTGCGTGGGCGGCTGCGCGTGCGGCTGTGCGTGCGGCTGCGCGTGCGGTCGTGCGTGCGGCCTAGCGGGCGGCCGCGCGTGCAGTCGTGCGTGCGGTCGAGTGTGCGGCTGCGCGTGCGGCTGTGCGGGCGGCTGCGCGTGCGGCTGCGCGGGCGGCTGCGCGTGCGGTCGTGCGTGCGGCCTATCGTGCGGCTGCGCGTGCAGCGGAGTGGGCGGCTGCGCGTGCGGCTGACGGGCAGCGCGTGCGGCTGTCCTAGGGGCGCACGACGGCGCTAGTAAGAGGGGCGCTCGACGGCGCTAGTAGGAGGGGCGCACGATGGCGCTAGTAGGAGGGGCGCTCGACGGCGCTAGTAGGAGGGGCGCGCAAGGGCGCGGCGGAACGGTGGGCCCTAACCAACGTCGGTCCTAGGTCCTGACCTAGGCGTCGGATACCATGTTAGAATGTAGAACTGAACGAGGATGGGTGAACTAGGCAGCAGGGTGATACAAGTAGGAAACCCTAGCAATGCTGTACCCCCTAAGGCTAAACCCACTATAGCCTACACAATATAAACATGTATAATGTTTGACAGGTTGGGTCACTATGCACGCTTGTGTGCTGGTACAAGGCGGAGCTGGAGCTCTGAAATCTCTCAAATTATGTAGATCTTAAAGGTTAGAACCTAGTGTTGTTAAAGTAGATGGCCTAATGTAGTGGAATGGCAAGAAAATGGTACCAACTGCATCTTTACAAACATAAGTAATGCGCAGGTCAGTTTGGTCGGTATGCGCGCCTGTAGTGCAGGTACCATGCACGACTGGAATGCCTATATTTGGCGAATTACATAGATACAAAAGGTGAGAACCTGGTAGGGGGGGTGGGAAATGGTATAATTGAAAGGACTGGAGAAAAATATATGGTATTCACTGTATTTATACAGAGAACATGATGCGTTGGTCGGTTGGGTCACTATGCACGCTTGTGTGTCGGTACAAGGCAGAGCTGGAGCTCTGAAATCTCTCAAATTATGTGGATCTAAAAGGTTAGAACATAGTGTTGTTAAAGTAGATGGCCTAATCTAGTGGACTGGCAAGAAAATGATACTAATTGCATCTCTACAAACATAAGTAATGCGCTGGTCAGTTTGGTCGGTATGCGTGCCTGTAGTGCAGGTACCATGCACGACTAGGAATGCCTATATTTGGCAAATTACAAAGATAAAAAAGGTTAGAACCTGGTAGGGGGGTGGGAAATGGTATAATTCAAAGGAAAAGCCTAAAATTTTATGGTATTCACTGTATTTATACGGAGAAAATGATGCGTGGGTCGGTTCGGTCAGTATGCACGCTTGTGTGCAGGTACAAGGCGGATCTGGAGCTCTGAAATCTCCCAAATTGTGTAAATCTAAAAGGTTAGCACCTAGTGATGTTAAAGTAGATGGCTAATCTAGTGGACTGGCAAGAAAATGGTACCAACAGCATCTCTACAAACACAAGTAATGCGCAGGTCAGTTTGGTCGGTATGCGCGTCTGTAGTGCAGGTACCATGCACGACTGGAATGCCTATATTTGGCGAATTACATAGATACAAAAGGTTAGAACCTGGTAGGGGGGTGGGGAATGGTATAATTGAAAGGACTGGAGAAAAATATATGGTATTCACTGTATTTATACGGAGAAAATAATGTGTTGGTTGGTTAGGTCATTATGCACGCTTGTGTGCCGGTACAAGGCGGAGCTGGAGCTCTGAAATCTCTCAAATTATGTGGATCTAGAAGGTTAGAACCTAGTGTTGTTAAAGTAGATGGCATAATCTAGTGGACTGGCAAGAAAATGGTACTTCTCTACAAACATATGTAATGCGCTGGTCGGTATGCGCGCCTGTAGTGCAGGTACCATGCACGACTGGGAATGCCTATATTTGACAAATTACAAAGATCCAAAAGGTTAGAACCTGGTAGGGGGGTGGGAAATGGTATAATTCAAAGGAAAAGCCTAAATATATATGGTATTCGCTGTATACGGAGAAAATGATGTGTTGGTTGGTTCGGTCAGTATGCACACTTGTGTGAAGGTACAAGGCGGAGCTGGAGCTCTGAAATCTCTTAAATTATGTGGATCTAGAAGGTTAGAACCTAGTGTTGTTAAATTAGATGGCTTAATCTAGTGGACTGACAAGAAAATGGTACCAAATGCATCTCTACAAACATAAGTAATGCGCAGGTCAGTTTGGTCGGTATGCGCGCCTGTAGTGCAGGTACCATGCACGACTGGGAATGCCTATATTTGGCGAATTACATTGATACAAAAGTTAGAACCTGGTAAGGGGTTGGGGAATGGTATAATTGAAAGGGCTGGAGAAAAATATATGGTTATTCACTGTATTTATACGGAGAAAATGATGCGTTCGTCGGTTGGGTCACTATGCACGCTTGTGTGCCGGTACAAGGCGAAGCTGGAGCTATGAAATCTCTCAAATTATGTAGATCTAAAAGGTTAGAACCTAGTGTTATTAAAGTAGATGGCCTAATGTAGTAGACTGGCAAGAAAATGGTATCAACTGCATCTCTACAAGCATAAGTAATGCGATGGTCAGTTTGGTCGGTATGCGCGCCTGTAGTGCAGGTACCATGCACGACTAGGATTGCCTATATTTGGAGAATTACAAAGATCCAAAAAGGTTAGAACCTGGTAGGGGGGTGGGAAATGGTATAATTCAAAGGATGGGAGAAAAATATAAGGTAGTTACTGTATTTATACGGAGCAAATGATGCGTGGGTCGATTCAGTCAGTATGCACGCTTGTGTGCAAGTACAAGGCGAAGCTGGAGCTATGAAATCTCCCAAATTATGTCGATCTAAAAGGTTAGAACCTAGTGTTGTTAAAGTAGATGGACTAATCTAGTGGACTGGCAACTACATCTCTACAAACATAAGAAATGCGCAGGTCAGTTTGGTCGGTATGCGCGCCTGTAGTGCAGGTACCATGCACGACTAGAATGCCTATATTTGGCAAATTACATAAATACAAAAGGTTAGAACCTGGTAGAGGGGTGGGAAATGGTATGATTGAAAGGACTGGAGAAAACTATATGGTTATTCACTGTATCTATACAGAGAAAATGATGCGTTGGTCGGTTGGGTCACTATGCACGTTTGTGTGCCGGTACAAGGCGGAGCTGGAGCTCTGAAATCTCTCAAATAATGTAAATCTAAAAGGTTAGAACCTAGTGTTGTTAAAGTAGATGGCCTAATCTAGTGGACTGGCAAGAAAATGGTACCAACTGTATCTCTACAAACATAAGTAATGCGCTGGTCAGTTTGGTCGATATGCGTGCCTGTAGTGCAGGTACCATGCACGACTTGGAATGCCTATATTTGGCAAATTACAAAGATCCAAACGGTTAGAACCTAGTCGGGGGGTGGGAAACGGTATAATTCAAAGGAAAAGCCTAAATATTTATAGTATTTACTGTATTTATACGGAGAAAATGATGCGTGGGTTGGTTCGGTCAGTATGCACGCTTGTGTGCAGGTACAAGGCGGAGCTGGAGCTCTGAAATATCTCAAATTATGTGGATCTAAAAGGTTAGAACCTAGTGTTGTTAAAGTAGATGGTCTAATCTAGTGGACCGGCAAGAAAATTGTACCAACTGCATCTCTACAAACATAAGTAATGCGCTGGTCAGTTTGGTCGGTATGCACGCCTGTAGTGCAGGTACCATGCACGACTGGGAATGCCTATATTAGGTGAATACATAGATACAAAAGGTTAGAACTTGGTGGGGGGGTGGGGACTGGTATAATTGAAAGGACTGGATAAAAATATATGGTTATTCACGGTATTTATACGGAGAAAATGATGCGTTGGTCGGTTGGGTCACTATGCACGCTTCTGTGTCGGTACAAGGCGGAGCTGGAACTCTGAAATCTCTCAAATTATGTGGATCTTAAAAGTTAGAACTAAGTGTTGTTAAAGTAGATGGCCTAATCTAGTGGACTTGCAAGAAAATGGTACCAACTGCATCTCTACAAGCATAAGTAATGCGCAGGTCAGTTTAATCGGTATGCGCGCCTGTAGTGCAGGTACCATGCACGACTCGGAATGCCTGTATTTGGCGAATTACATAGATACAAAAGGTTAGAACCTGGTAGGGGGGTGGGAAATGGTATATATATGGTATTTACTGTGTTTATACGGATAAAATAATACATGGGTCGGTTCTGTCAGTATGCACGCTTGTGTGCAGGTACAAGGCGGAGCTGGAGCTCTGAAATCTCCCAAATTTTGTGGATCTAAAAGGTTAGAACCTAGTGTTGTTAAAGTAGATGGTTTAATCTAGTGGACTGGCAAGAAAATGGTACCAACTGCATCTCTACAAACATAAGTAATGTGCAGGTCAGTCTGGTTGGTATGCGCGCCTGTAATGCAGGTACCATGGACGACTCGAATGCCTATATTTGGCAAATTACATAGTTTCAAAAGGTTAGAACCTGGTAGGGGGGTGGGGAACGGTATAATTGAAAGAACTGGAGAAACATTTATGGTATTCACTGTATTTATACGGAGAAATTGATGCGTTGGTCGGTTGGGTCACTATGCACGCTTGTGTGCCGGTACAAGGCGGAGCTGGAGCTCCGGAATATCTCAAATTATGTGGATCTAAAAGGTTAGAACCTAGTGTTGTTAAAGTAGATGGCCTAATCTAGTGGACTGGCAAGAAAATGGTACCAACAGCATCTCTACAAGCATAAGTAATGCGCATGTCAGTTTGGTAGGTATGCGCGCCTGTAGTGCAAGTACCATGCACGACTGG